GTCACGTGGTCTACCTTACTGGGGCACGACAACGTCCTTGGAAGTATCCAGCTCCTCGTGTCTTCTCAGGTCCATGGGGCGGTCGAGCAATGGCACAACATAGGGATCAAAGGTCTTCCAGTAAGGGTTCTCGAGGTGGTACTTTTGGCTCTGCACGGGGGGAGGATAACGGATCAGCGAATCTGTCAAGCATAGGACACTGAAAGTGGAGGGAGGGAGGGAGTGCTGGCGTTGCGAGGCTTTTCCAAGTTGGTGTATGTGTGTGTGTATGCGTGGGGATCCTTACATATTCCGTCTCGAAGCGCTCGACAATGGTAAAGGACCTGGGGTCGTGGACGTCCTGCATGACGAACCAGCTGACGGTCTCGCGGTCCTTTGAGTAGACGCGCGAGGCCTCGATGAGCTTTGCCTTTATGCGTTCGACCGAGTCCGGGTGGTCGTTTGCGTGGAGGTGGACGGTGAGGGTGTAGACCATGTTGGGCTTCTTGGTGAGGTGGGTAGGTGTGTGTGATGTCGGAGGTAGGGCTATGGAGGGCAATCTCTTCGAGGGGAGCTTTCGAGGTTTGTGTGGTGATGATGCTTGGAAGGATGTCGAGAGAGAGGGAGCTTGGAGGGAGTAGCTGTCTGGATTTGGGAGGTGAGGGGTTGGAGGGGCAAGGTTTTGGAGGGGCGGGCTGCAGCTGGCTGGAGCTGGAGCTGATGGGGCCTTTTGAGTGGAGAGGTGCTGTTAGTACCGCATGGAGATCCGTACTTATCGTTGAACATATCCGTACATAGCGAAGCTTTGTCGAGCGTGTGGTGGACGTTGGATTTGGATGCTTGGTTTAGTCTATAAGTAGCTGTGCCAATTGCTTGCTGCTGAGGTAAGGGCATTCGCTCAGTCTGCGTTGTTGAGTGGGATTAGCGACTTCACGATGGTTCAGGTTCAGGTTCAATTGGATACAAGGCGATGTCATTTAGAGGTCACGGTTACAGAACATGAGGAGAGACTCAACAGACACCGTGAAAAGATTGTCTAGTGAAATTGAGATACTGCCCCCTCGATTCAATCGTGGTATGCTTAAGACTGCCCCGTCTCTCTTGTTGGAGTCTGTGTAGAGGCAAGACATGGGACCGTACAGCATCAGTCAATGGAACGCTGCTGGTAAACCTTTACCATCGCTGAGCACAGCAACTAACACGGCCCCGAGCCAGCTAAGACGCGGTATATCGGACTAGAAGGCGAGAAGCTTCCTCCCCCCCTCAATCGGAGGAGCCGTCTGAGGGAGGCAGGTCAGGTACCTTAGTTCAGCGTACGACACGCATACTATCATGGCCAAGCTTTTTATTTTTATTTTTATTTTTATGGTGGTGGTACCTTTGATAGAATATCTTGGACTCAGCGTACTAGAGGATGGTGTCAAGAATTGCCAAGTCATCGGTTCAGCCGTTATTTTCGCCGGGGGCTACAAGCTCAACCACGTACTTCCAGGCTGCATGTGTTGGAGTGTCCGAGGAGCTTGACGCCGGCCGACGATTCTAGCGATTGATGGGCCAGATCAGCCGCGGACATATTCAACCTAAGGTAATGGTGAAGCTATCTTACCTTAGCGTCGAATCTCGCTGTAAATTTCTGCCCTTTTACCAGCAGGTAGTGGTGGTGGATGAGGTGGTTGAAGCATTGAATCGGTCCTCCCCGCACACGGCGGCGGCGGCATTTGGGAGGGTGGGGTGTCGAATCTAGCGCCTTAGCTTGCCTCGAGTCCACTGCGGCTTCAGTGATTACACCGCAGAATCAGCGAGGTTAGTGGCCTCTATCATGCGGTGTGACACACCAAACGACCTGACGCTGCCACTCTCAGAGGATGGAAGGAACGGCGTATTCACCGCGAAAGTGGGTTCCTTCTGCCGGCTCCGGACGACAAACGCACACCTCCCAACCCCCCACTCTTTTCCATCTTTTTTTTTTTTCTCCTTGCTTCCGCCCTCCATTCCGCCTGCTTTCTGTCGGGGAAAGCAGCTGCTTCACAATGATACTCGGCGCCACCGACGCCATCGTCAACCCTTGACCCAACCCACACAACCAACCAAGCCCATCACCAACTCGCAATATCCAATCCTCTTTGTCATCGTCACGACGATACGATATCGTACCGGTGTTTCTCATGCACAATTCCATCCCGCATATCTGAACCACCCCCCTCCCCGGACCATCCACATCTGCCCCCCAACACACGTGTAGATTGACCACTTACACCCACTCCCGCCACGAACAAAGCACACCATCCCGCAAGCAGGAGCATCGTCCACAGTGTTCTTGGATAGTCAGTTCGACTGTGCCTTGAGCCTTGTCTAGATCTTGAGTCCGAGACGGAGCTAATGCCGATAATTCTTCTCTATCCTTTTCCCCTTTGGGACAACCCATCTTCCAAATATCTGAGATTTCTTGGCCTTTCCAACCACCTCGAGGCTCGATCTCTCATCTTGTTGGACCCCTACTCAAGACAGGCTTTCTATTGTTGCCTCGGAGCCGAGACCGCGTAGCCATCGCGGCGGACCGAACCCGGACAGAAAACAATTATGGCACCTCAGCCGCGGATGCAAATCCCCGGGTATTACTACGGTACTACTTACACGCCCCCCTCAAGTCTTACACAACTCTATCTGTCTTCGTTCTTTCAACCTTTCTTTGACCACTCAGTCTGTCTTTCACTTGAACCGTACCCTTCATTGACCGGCCGGCTGATTTGGGAAAAATTCCATTCTAGATGAGGAAAAGGGCAAATATTTCAAAATCGAAAAGGGCGCCTCGGCACCGCAGACCGCCGCCTGGTCCGCCGACAATGTCAAGCGCCGGAAGATTCAGCACCGCGAGGCAGAGGCCGTCGCCGCCCGCCGGGAGCGGCTGAAGCGGCACATTGTCCGATCCGCCGCGCTACGGGCCCCGCTCATCGGCGGCGTCTTGGACGTCGAGCTCGGCGTGCGTCGTGAGGAGAGGGCGAGGCTGCGCGTCGATGGTGCGTTCGGCGTCGAGGATGTTCCTGCGGCGGCATGGGCCCGGGGGCTCGTCGACAAGGGCGAGGTGCCGTTCGTGCCCAGCTTTGCGAGGCAGAGTTTCCCGAATATCCCCTGTTTCTATGTTGGCGGCGATGATGAAAAGACAGGGCTTGGTGTTGCGTATGCAAGTGAGTTTGAGGCCCTTCCGAGATTGCGACTGCGAGTTTGTGTTTTGACTTTGATAGCTTTGGACGAGGAGACTTTGATAGGATCATATATCCCTACGGATGACAATGACAGGTGAGCTACCTACACATCTGTGCGGCTCAGAGCAGAAACTGATGAAAGCAGGATATCCTTTAGCACCGATGCCTCGAGCCGTCCTGAACGCCGACTGTCACATCGTCACGAGATGATAGGTTGTCCCCAGATCTCATCCATCAACTATCATCCACACTCGCATCGCATAATGGTTACATCCCGCGAGCCAAGTAACACGTGCGACATCTACCTCTTTTCCCCCCCTAAATCCGCTCCCAATGATGACCGACCTCTCTGGTTACTTGACAGAGGTAATGCCTCCCTTCCCCTTTGACTCCTTTCTTTCTAACGCAGACCACGTGTAGCGAACAACCTCCGCCACATCTCCTTCAACACAGGCCGTCGCGAAGGCGTCGTAAACCAAACAACGCCCGCGCCGCCCTCTTCCTCCTCCCTAAACTGCATCATCGGCACCTCATACGGCCTCCTCAAGCTCACCTCGGACGAGCGCATCCACTGGCTCGGCCCGCCGCGCCCTCGCCCGGGCCCAGCGGAAGGCGATTTCTTCGACCAGACCTTCCTCCCCTCCAACCCAAACGTCCTCCTCGCCGGCGGCCGCAACCGTGACGTCAGGCTGATTGACCTGCGCGTGAAATGGTCCGAGTGGGATAACATCCCCGTCGGCGCCACGGCCCACCTGCGCGCCGTGAACCCGCACCAGTTCCTCGCCGCGGGGCCGAGATCCAAGATGGCACTGTTCGATCTCCGGTACCGCAAGACGAGACCTAACGGGACGAGGCCGGTTGTGGAGTTCCCGGGTTTCCGGAACGAGGCGTACATGCATTTCGGGTGGGATGTTGATGTCGACTCGGGCGTTGTTGCCGCCGCGCACGATGATGGGCGGGTGGGAATGTATTCGCTGCTATCTGGGCGGAGGTTGCGGTGTCCTGCTGTGGATACCGTCAAGGCGAGGACGCCGGTGAAGAGTTGCCAGTTTCAGAGGATGCCTGGGCGCCGGCACGCGAGTTTGTTTGCGGGCGTGGGCCCGAATTTGAAGATGTTTTCGGTTGGGGCTTTGGGGGTTGATGATGAGTGTTGAAGTGAGGTGGAGAGTTGGATAGGACAACGAGCTCCCAGATTACCGGCTAACATGGACACGGCCTTCGCGGTACTTCTTTTAGAGCAGCCGTCAGAACAGCTGTTGAACACATTATGTTGATGGTCTCTTGAGGCGTTATTGCCGATGGTTTAGGTGAAGTCAGAGGCGATCATGTCGACGATAGAACAAACATGTCGAGCTTGGTCCATACGGTACAGCCCAATTACCTGCAATGTAGGATACAGTCTATCTTGGTAACGAAGCTTGCTCGCCAGCTCAGGAATCCGATCTTCCTACATCGACATGACTGAGAGATGTTAATGTCGACGAAGAGTCGGCGCCGGGTACCTCCCCAAAACCCTCTATTTGTTCCCCCCTTCCAAGCTACGATTTGAATCTGACCGACTTTTGAACCATTGGGTTATACTTTTTCACTTGGTCTCTCTCTACCTTTGGAGTAGCTTTCGGAGTTCTGCTACTTGAGGTATAAACCTTCTTTGATAATCACACTTCCTTCCCTCCAGGGATCAATACGGGGTCGTTATGGACGAGCTTCTGCTTCATACCTGGCAGCAAGTCCTTTCTATTCCATGCTGTTGCCTATCATTATTCCCCCCTTGACCGCTTCCTAGTGTGTAAAAGCCAAGATACCCGTTTCCCACCCTTAGGAAGTCGCCGGAGGAGGAGGAGGAGGTGTAGCAGGGCCAGGCGAGGCCGGCGCGGATGTGGGCGAAGCCGGAGCGACGGGTGTGGTAGCTGCAGGGGAAGAAGAATGGGAAGCCGCCACAGGCGTGGGAGGAGTCCCGGCGACAGCCGCAGCCGCAACAGGAGCAGCAGGGACAACAACGGGCACAACGTCCCTCCCATCGACATCAACAACGACAATCAACTTGAGCCCCGTAGGTCCACAAACCCACTCCAGCATCCCGCCTAGCACGGCCTCGGCAATTCTGTCTAGCCGGGCTTCTCTTATGACGTCTGAGACCACGGGTTTACCACCACCACCACCACCACCACCGATGTTAGAGGTGGGCACGTTTACGTTGACGAAGCTGAGCTGGGGCGGACCGCCTCCCATGATCCAAGTCTGCTGTCCGGCGGGGACGATGGCCGGGTACGCAGGCTGCTGCTGCATAGCAGGGTTGCCGTAGGAGTGGAGGTAGTTTACGCCGTTGGAGCATGTCATGGCCAAGGGCATCGGAGGGTCCATGGTCATCCGCGGTAGTGGCAGCAGCTGAGAAGGCTGTACGAGCGCGGGGTATCCGACGTTGAAGGTCATTAGGTGGGGAGGAGGCCGTTGCTGCCACACGGGCATCGTGACCGTGGCCATGCTGCCGCCGCCGTCGCCAGGGAGCGACACGACGCGGCCGGTGCGGGAGGTCCAGTAGAGCGTGATTTGCGCCTCGACGATGGGGTCTGCGCGGCCTAGGCGGGCGATGGAGGCGCGGACGAGGGAGAGGAGTTGGGATTTCGTGGCTGTTGAGGGGGAGAGGCGGAGGTGGAAGCTTCTGGTCCAGCCTGGCGAGAAGGAGAGGGTTGCCGGGTTCGAGTAGATGTGTGTCTCTAAGACGATTGTGGGTTCTTCTGCCATGGTTGGTTTTGCTCTGGAGTTTTTTTGAGATGGTTAAGAATAGTCTCTATACTTCGTTTGTTGGTCTCTTGTCTGCCGAGAGGGAAGAGGTCAGGGGATGGGGATTTTGAGCTGGTGGGAGACTTACCTAGGAGAGGGTGATGACCCTTCTTTGTTGGTGTTTTTGTTGCGTAGGAAGAGAAGATGGTTGAAGGGGTCTCTCAGTCCACAAAGAGTTTTTGACAGTCATGGAATTACTCAGGGAAAGAATCAAGGAGGAAGTGCTTGAGGAGCAGAGAAAGGGGTTCCTCGTAGAGGTCTGCAGCCTCTATACGGATTGTGAATAAAGGGGGTTCTTAGTATGGACCGTGTGTGATTCCGCACCAGTTGACCTCTATGAGAGCAGGGATCCGCTTCCATAAGATGATCTCCTAGGTATGATTCACTAATCATACACAAAGCTATGGATATCTTAGGAGGAAGATAAGCTTTACTACTGTGAAGATGTGTTTTTTCGATGTATGTGCTCTGATATGTGTGCTTGTCGATGGCATTGGTGGAAAGTTGGTGGTGTTTTGTTGCATTTCGGCTTCAGTTGCATAGGGTCCTCATTGTTGAATTGCCTGCTTCTTCTCAAGAACAGATGGACGATTAGTATGACGATTAGTACCTGAGTTCTGGATGTTTAATTTACCGGCCTGTAATGAGTCCAAGTTCGCTCCTGGTCTGTGTGTCTCAAGACGTATTGTATGTGATATCAGTATAACTGCCTCTGAAAAGAACAACAAGACCAGGCCCCGCGATATTGCGGCATAAAGAAACAGCAATGTAGAAGACGAAGGACCGGTGGGAAAGAAATAGCCGCAAGCGAGACCGACCCCCTATACCCCTCGGCCTCGACTGTTCAGTGAAGGACGGCGTCTATTGAGGCATGAGAAGAGAAGAAGTGAAACCTCGCCGAGCGACAGCCCACGAAAACAACACCGCCACCCCCCCTGAATTCGACTAGGATCCATACCAGAAGCCTTCTGTCATATCATGAATGTCAGCCACTACGGGAGTCATACTCGAAAGGTCCTGGGGTACGAACACAACATCAACACGAAGAAAGGTAACAAGAGCTACGATTGATGAACGTCTCCCATAGATTGAGCAACTGTGTACATGTGGAAGATAAGAATGCCGTGTTAATTTTTCCAATCCACCTCCCATACGCCGCAGTCTGTACCTCGAAAAGCCCCCCCTTCCTAACCCTAATTCCTTGGTGAGATAGAAAAGGTGAGCCAAGCAATATGGCTTGACTCATGATGACTGCCCTTACTTGGTGCCAAAAAGCTACGCCGTATTGGTGATATATATCTTACGTGAACGCCACGGAAAAGAAACCATTTTCCCTCCTTTCCCTTAAAAAGCCTTGAAAGACCCCTATATACCGAGTGAAAAGTGCAAAGAGATTTGAGCAAGATAATCCTTCAGACCGAGAAGTAATCTCTCATCATCTCATAGACTTACACCAGAATAAACCACAATGTAGTTTTCGAGTCCCGTAAACCGTAACCAGCTCACTCCTTCAAATTATACGTCTCCCTCAGCTTAGGAAACGTCTGGTTGAAAGCCTGGCCCAACGTCCAATTCTCCAGCCTCCGCAGGTGCCGCTCAAATACGGGGTTAATCAGCACCTCGTCCGATTCCGGCACCTGCAGCAGCGTATCCGTCTCCTCGTACGGCCAATTCAGACTCAGCGTCGTGGTGAAGGGCACAAAGAAGTTGTCAAAGAGGTACTCGCGCGGGTTATAGTCGCGGCACAGCTTGTCGCGCATCGCGGGGAAGGGGACGTGGTCGATCCAGGCCGGGTGCTCGGTGAACAGCTGCGCGGGGCGAGGGCGCGCCCACTCGGGCAGGCGGTCGTAGTTTTCTTGGGTGGGGGATATCTGCCAGCGCATGATGAGGAACATGATGTAGAGGACGGCGACGCGCTGCGGGAGGGCCGAGAGGTCGGGGAAGGTGGCGAGGATGTCGGTGAAGACTTTGGAGAGCGGGTGGGAGTATTTGCTGTTGGCTGGGTTGAGGAGGGAGAGGACGGAGGGGTAGCGCGGGCCGATGATTTCGTGGGTGGAGAGGCCGTCTGCGGCGCGTTGGCGGCGCTCGTGGAGGAAGTCGAGGAGGAGGCTGTCGAGGGGACAGGTTGGGCCGCAGTTTTTTACTTCGGCCGTGTGGTGGCCTAGGGCTCGGGATTCTGGGGGAGCAGAGGATGACGGTTGGTGTTGTTGTTGTTGTTGTTGCTGTCCTTGCGACTGCTGCTGAGGATAGTCGACCTGTGATCGCGGGGTGTGGACGGTCGGCCCGCTGAGGGAAGGGCTCCGGCTGTGTGTGACGGGGCCGACGCCGGTCCAGTCGTGCTTCATGGGCACGTGGTTGTAGCTCGGCGTGTCCTGGGCGCCGTTGACGCCGCTCTGGATCTTGCCGACGCGGGCGCTCTGGTCGAGGAGGAGGAAGTCTAGACCGAGACGCTCCGGGCCGAGGTCGAGGCCGTGGCGGAGCCCTTGCCGCTGCTGGTCGAGCATCTTGCTCGCGGCGTACATGTGGTTCGGGGGGGAGAGGTCCGAGACAGGACCTCCTCCTCCTCCACCACCGCTGCCGTTGGGCGTCGTTTGCCAGCCGGCGGTCGGGTCGATGGAGGCCGGGGAGGCCGCACTGTTGGGCGTTGAGGCATTGTGTGCTGAGATGGGCCCGTTGTGCTGGTGGACGTGAGAGTAGCTGCCGCTTGGAGATGGGAAGACGGCAGGGTGCGGGTCTGCCGGCGGCGGTGGCGCTGAGGTTGATATGGTGTTAGTCAAAGATACGTCTGCCCCGAGCATAACGAACTTACGTTGGCTCGGTGGAGAAGCAGAGATGAGAGGCTGGATAGAGGCGATGAAGGTGGCCAGACGGCGCTTCAGGTCCGCGTTCTCGGCCTCGACGGCCTCCTTGGCCCTCTGGACGGCCTGCAGCTCCTGGTAGGGCTGCTGGGAGGTCAGCTCCTGGATACGGCGCTCCAGGTTCTCGATCTGGTTCTTTGTGCGCTCGCGGATGGCTCGCTGGGCTTCCCTGTCTGATCGGGGCCGATGGGAACTTCGGTTAGCGGGTGTGTCGTCATCGAGGTGGGAAAGGGGGGAGGAGGAGCCAGTCAATGTTGTGGAGAAGGATGTATGTGTGCGAGGGTGGTGTGCAGTGAGTGAACAGGGGGTGGTGAGGACGACAGCGAGCACTAGTTTCGAAGGAATGCTGGAAATGGGACGGAAGGTGAAGATCACGGAGTACGAGAAAGTCATGTGTGCAGTGAGGCATGAGATGAGTGGGTGGGTGAGCGAGAGAAGTTTGTGCTCACCGTTGGCGCGCTTCTTGGCCAGTTGCTCCGGCGTCAGGTTGGCGACGCCCCTGGAGCCAGGACCGACACGGCGTTTCTTGTTTGAATCGCCGGGTGGTTGAGAAGCGGGCGACGTGCCGGCGCCGGCGGGAGTGACAACTTCGGCATTCCCGGGGCCCGCCGGGCTTGGGTGGTCCGGAGCACTACGCTTATTATTGTTGTAATTCAGGCCGGGGGTCACCGATGAAGCCACGGAGCCTGCGGGACTTGGGTGGTTGACGGCATCGGAGGCCATGGGAATTTGTAAGGCCAGCGTGGGGGGCGGACGCGGAAGCGGAGGCAGGATGGTATGGCAGGGGAGAAGGGAAGAGAGAAGGGGGGTGGGGGGCTGGTATCGGTGCCGGGTCACCGGAGGTCCACCTCAGGCCAGACTCGGCTCGGTCAGAGAGCCGGTGCTGCCCGTGATCGAGCGCCAGCGGGCAAGAGGCATAGGCCTACCCGTACCGTACTACCGTCAAGTGTGTGGATCAGCACGGAGTGGAATATGGGCGGAGTAGCTGTCTGGGAATCCGGGATTGGCAAGGTGATGGTCGGGCCCCTTGCTGGTTTCTTCTGCGGCCGGGCCCCTCCTTGCTTTCGGGGCCTCTTTTTCTTTCTTTGGGAAGCCCGTTAGACTCTTGGAGCATTTGCCGATTGCCGGACCAGTCCAGTTCTCGTCCTCTTTCTGTTAGTACAAGGGGTTGAGCGGCAGAATGACGGGTGACAGGCTTCCTGAGGAGGGACCAGCAATGCAGCGACAGCGGAGCTCTGGGCAGCAGGAGAATTTTTTGGTGGTACGCGAGAAGGGGGGGGAATGGTATGATTCTTTTCGCGGTCGGGGGGATCGGGTAACCGTACGGATAGGTTGTGCCTTGGAAAGGCTTGGAAAGGGGGACGGGGAACAGGCGAATGGGAGGGAGAGATAATGAATCATTCAGATCTTGCTGGACGGCTTCGGAGGGTCGAGATCCCGAGTCATGAGTGGCTCAGTCGACTGTGAAGAATGGAGCTAAGCCTCGGGCATTTCTGCTGCAGACAAGGGTGTGTGTGCTCTGGGAGTCTGGACTTGGTGTGGGTGTGTGTTCTCAGTTTCCGGCGGGATGCAGCTTTGTGTTGAAGGATTCCTAAAGTTTTGGTTTTGTTCGTTTTGTTCTATTTGGGAACCCGAACCGCAACAGAGGTTGCAGGTCTGCAGTTTGTGCTCGTGATACCGTGCTCCGTACACGTGTAGCTGAAGGAAACATGAGACCAAGAGGAGGAGAAGTAGAAACTCAAAACGGATGCATTAGTTGGAATAAAGTTTACAGTTTGCTGGCGGAGAGGCTAACCTGCCACTGCTGCTATCGTGAAGCGGTGGAATTCTCCATTACCTGTGTTCTAAATTTCATAGTGCACAAATTTACGGATACTTGTGTTGAGATTGCACAAGTCATACATGCATGGTACAGATTCTGAAGTTGTCCGGGTGGTATATCTTGACCTAGAGAGAATACCCTCTATTTTATGCATCGAGTGCTGCACATGAGGGGACTCTTATGCACAGACCCGTCCAATATATGCAACTTGTGAAGGCCCTCAAGTTCGCATTGCTTCGACGGTCTGGACTCGGGATTCTGGACTCCCAGAGGCTGAAGCT